GAACTGTAAACAGAAAGTTACCCCAAAAGAAAAATAGGCAAATAGACTTGAACAAGCAAATCCAAATGGCAAAGACATAAAAACGAAGCTCAACTCCATTAGCCTGATGGGGAATACATACTACTACTATACACACAACAATGACTAAAATTAACGACAATACCAAGTGTTAGATGAAGATATGGAGAAACTGGAACCCTCAAGCTAAATATATGCATTCTAGCTCCTAACAATTCCATTCCTAGATATATGTATATCTAACAGAAATGTATAATGTTCACTAAAAGACACATGCAACCTCAAACATATTGTTGACTATAAGTAGGCCTTACATGATGCAAAAAGTAAGTGATTCCATTCTATAGTGGTTACCATGGGGGGGGGGGGGGGCAGTAATTGGAAGAGGTGCAAGTGGGACTTCTGGCTAGTTATAGTCCTTAGATTTGAGTGCTGGTTACACGAGTGTGATTTGTTTGTGAAAACTAGGTCTATACTTGCGATTTTCATAACGTTTTGTTATGCTTCAACAAAAAGTTAAAAAAAAAATCTATATTCAAAAGATAAGCTATTTACTAACAGCTAGATTTTTCATATCATACTTTTTTCTTTGGCTGATTATTACTTCCTCAAACTCTACTGGAATATTTCCTTTAAAATGGCATTTCTTCTGGATTCAAGTCTTTGGAATAATTTTCATATCACAAATGCTTCAAGACCCACACCACTTCCGATTAAATATTTTTGTCCTTACATCTCACAAAAGCGGCTTTTTTCTAAAATCATTTCAGCAACTTTCCAAATTCATACTCATCTTTGTTACTGTACAAATATTTTGGGGGCATATAATGCCCTAAATTTCATACAGATGCTAATTGTTATGTTTACATACTTGGGGGGAGGGTGGAGAGGGCTTAATAGCAACCAAAATTATCCTTTGGTTTGTAGCAGTAAATACAAATATATGCTAGTAGTAACTAAATTAATATTTCCATTAGTGAGACAATTCAATCATACACAAGGTGAGAATCACTGAAAAGATGAAGTAACTATGCAAAAATAATCAGACTGTTTACTGAAGGCATGCATGCATTTAGTTTAACCTGTACTGTAGAACTGCAAATTCTATTCATCTTTTCATGTAATCTACAAGATTTCTGACATACACATCTACTTGTAAAACTATCAATCACAAGATAGTGACCACTTCCACCACTCCCAAAAGGTCTCTCCCGCCTCTTTATAATCCACCCTTCCCTTTACTCCCAACCCTCAGGCAACCACTGATTTGATTAGTATACATTTTCTAGAGTTTTACAGAAATTAAATCTTATATTATAGTACTTTTTAAGAAACTGCCAAACCATTACCCAAAGTGATTTGTTTGCTTGCCATTCCCACCATCAGTGCATGAGCGTTCTGGTTCCTTCACATCTTTGTCAGGGTTCAGATATCAAAATTATGCTAATCCTCAAATGAGCAGGGAAATTTGTACCCTATTTACAAGAATGTGTGTAAAAGGCTGGAATTATGTCTTCCCTGAATGTTAAAGTGAACCAGTGGGCCTAGAATTTTCTTTATGGGACAATTAATGACTAATTCAATTTATGTATGGTTATAGGACTACTTAGATTTCTATTTCTTCTTGCATCAACTTTGGAAAGGTATTTTTCTAGGAATTATTCCGTAACATCCTTTTAATGTTACAGCATGCACAGTAATCTGTTAGGACATTAATGCCTTCTCACTCTCAATGTCGTTAGGTTTTATATTTGATATATGGAGTAAAAAGTAGGTTTACTTTTTTCTTTATTGATTTTTTAGAGCGAGAGGAAGGGGGGGGGGCAATAGGTGACAGAGAACATCAAATGGCTGCCTCCTGTATGCCCCCACTGGGGATCATGCCCACAACCTGGGCGTGTGCCCTGACCAGAAATTGAACTGGTGACCTCTTGGTGCATGGGTCAATGTTCAACCACTGAGCCACACCGGCCAGTACTTTTTAATTTTCATCAAATACATTACTGTCTTTTAATTGTGACCTTCGATCTATTTACATTTTAATGGAATTACTGAGAGTAGGGATATGAGGCAAGAACAAGCAGGCTTTGTGGCTTCTAAATTTTTCTATTAAACAAATAAAACTACCAAAGATTGCTTCATTATATTAATCCTTCTGCAAAATAATCTAAGATTTCCCAATGACACTATCTACTCTATTTGAATAAAAACATCAAATTGTTAGGACACCCTTTAAAGTGCAGCCTTTTAGATTACAATCTGATATACTTTGTTCTCCAGCCTTGGTTGCTAGAGAGATTGATTTTGTCCTAAAGAGCAAAGAATCAGATAAATATAAAACACTTGTAACGCTTGTACAGTGGCTACTATGTGTCACTGTTTTTAAAAACTATATGTATACTAACCCAATTAATCCTCACAGCTACCCCATGAAGTAGGTACCGTTACTGTCTCCATTTTAGAGATGAGGAAACATCACAAAGCTAGTTATCAAATGCTGTTTGATTAAAAATCTAGACATTCTAGAGGCCACACTATTTTACTATGCATACTCTTCTAGGTGTCAGATTACCATTCCCCTCTTGGGCCCACAACACTCTCATAGTGATCAGACTCCAGTGAGTCCCTCCTGCCAGGTCAAGGACTTTTGGCGATTCATCTAGCATCTAATTTTGTTCAGGTACCTTTTTAACCTCCAAGTAACATCCCATGTACCCTTGCTTGACTGACAGTTCACTGAAAAACTTTCCCAGAAAGGTTACCAATGGACTTCTCAGTTAAATAAAGATTTTAATTTCTTAGTTACTCCATCTACAACAGCTGAAGTGTGTTAGAAAACTCTCAAAATAGTGGTTTAACGCTGGGTTAGAGCGTGGCCCACAGACCAGAGTCCTGGGTTCGGTTAAGAGCATGTACCTCAGTTGCAGTTTGTCCCCTGCCTGATTGATGTCTCTCACTCATGTTTCTCTCTCTCTCTCTTCCTCCCTTCCTCTCTCCCTCCTTCTCTATCTGAAGATAAATGCAAAAATGTCTTCGGGTGAGGATTAAAAAAAAAAAAGTGGTTTAAAGAATGTTAAGTGTCTACAAGATGTATAGCACTAAATAATCAACTGTACAAAACAGAATATTCTATCCTTTTGCCATCATTTTAGGAGCCACACTCAAGTAGTAGAATAACTGCTACTGAAAAATACACAAAGGATAAGTGGTTTCAAGTATTTAAAGAAAGCTGCCCTTTTATAAGAACTTCTCTCACTACTGGACTCAGGGAACTCCTAACCACCCAAAAAAGCCCAGGCTTAAATTGTGGCATTTCTACTCAAGAAATTGGGAAGAGGGAAAACCTTCTTTTTTCTGTATTAAGAACGTGTCCTTACAAATAAAGCTTTAAAAGAGTTAATTCGCCAGAGCAAAACAAGGTTATTCATTTTATTTTATAAGATTTTTCTAGATAATCCGATGACAATTGTTTTACCAAAAGCATATCACCAACACTAGGGAGTTTTCCCATCTATGAAATGGAGGAAATATTCAGCTTCCCCATATTTGTAAGAAAAGTAAATGCTTCCTGTAACATACATATAAAGTGCTTAGAACTGAGCCTGGCACATGGTAAACATTTTAAGTATAGCATAAGGCTTGAAAAACGAGACCTGTGATGAGCTATCACGATGCTTTTTTACAAGAGAATCCTTCAAGATATAATGCCTTAATGTCCCGGCAGCACGTGTCCTCCCGGATTCCCTTCTCCAGTTGCTTTTTGTCAGGGACAGCGGTGAGCGCAGCCAACATTCCTGAAACGCCCATTGGCCCACACCCTGGGCCAGGCTCTCAGTAGGGCCCTGGAGCTCATTGGTCGTCCACTCTCAATGAAGCGGCCACGCCGGTTCCTGCGCGGCACCGCCACACTCGCCGCACTCGTGCGCGGAGGAGCCTAGAAAGGCAAGGAGTGGCTAGCGGTCAGAGTGCCGCGAGGAACAGGCCCAGGCACCTGCGGAGTCGCCAACGCCTTTACTTACGCTTGGATTACCCAAAAACCACTAGAAGACCTCTCGCTTTCTGTGCAACCAGCCCAGCTCTCTCGCGTTGACTGCCGGGGTGGGAGGCTGGGGCCCCAGATTCCTTTGCTGGCTTAGGCATTAAAGGTATTATATCCCAAGCTGGACGGGCCTCTAGCCCGTAAATGTAGGCAAAGCTTACTCTACCCCACACCTCTCCCCAGGACCTCAGCGATTCGCTAACAGGTTACACAAACCAAGGTCAAGAGACTCGGAGCAAGCCTCGGCGGGTTCTGCGGCCGTCTCCGGGGACCGCCCCGAAAGGCTTTGGTGCAGAGCATGTTAGGGCGGCGGTGGGGCCCAGCCACTGCGACAACGCTGCCCCCAATCCCCGCCCCCGGGCGCCACATGCTGCCAGCGCGGACCTCGACCGGAGGCCTGCTCATCAGCCCCTCAGCCCAGGACCCGGAGGGCCCCCTCCTCCCCGCCGCACGCGGCGAGAGCAAGTCCGGTTCAGGCCCGCTCCCTCCCTCCTCCACTCCCCGAAGCGGGCACGCCCGAATTAGCGCCTGACTAAGCCCGCCGAGCCACACCTGCCGGGAGGGAGCCCGCGCAGCTCTCCTAGACACCCCGGCCCGCAGTCTCGGACCTTCAACTCCAGAGAGGAAAGTCGGAGGCGCGGGCCGCCAAACCACCCCGAGCGGGCGCCGCCCGCTGCCCAGCCGGGGACGTTACCTGAGCACGCGGCGGCACCGGCCTCCTCCCCTCCCCTCCCCCCAGGCAGCGCCCGGCCGGCAACGGCGGCGGGAGAAACCGGCTCGGGCCCCGCATGGACGCGGCCGCTCCCTCCAGCACTGGGGGCCCCTTCCACGGCGCTGAAACCACCCCCAAAAGCGGACCTGTTCCCACCTCCGCCCGTGGTTAGTATCTTCCAGGCGGCTACAGCCCCAGAACCGACTGTGGGCGAGAGCCCCGAGTACCCACCTTGGGATGGTGCGAAGATCCCCTGATCCTTGATTTGCGTCGGGTTGCTGCCTGGAGAACCAAACCTCCAGCAGTTTCTCGGTCCCTTCGAAAAAATGTGCAGCTTCCATCACCGTGAGACTAGCGAACAACCAACAACCACAGAAAATCAACTAAATTAAATTCTCTTCTCCCGCCGCTGCTGCGGATTGTTCCAGCTGTTTCAGGTTCCTTTTTTTGCTATAATTTTATATTAACTTTTTTTAAAAAAAGGATTAATAAAATTTTCCCGGCTTTTTTTTGTGTGTGTGTGAGCGAAAGTTGAACGTGAGTCTGTTGGAAATAGAGGCAGATACAGTTCAGTCTCTTGTAGTCCGCTGTTTCCCCGTTAGAGAGAGCAGAGCGAGCGCTAGCTAATGTCGCCGGCCATACTGTGGAAGCGAGGGCGCTGCGTGAGCAGCGAATTTATATACCCCGTCTCCCACGAAAGGCCAGGAAGTGACGCACGTCCCGCCCCTGCGGCTGATAGCTGCAGCCGTCTGTCACTCACCAGCCGCCAAGTTGCGGCTGGCTGGCTGTTGGCCTGCCTGGAGCGCGGGGAGCTGCCCGCCGCGCTGCGGTTCGGGTTCGCGCTGCTGCTAGGGCGGGAGATGGCTCTATGTTGTCCGACTGGGTACTGGGAACCAGGCGTCGAATGCAGAGTGGGTGGGAGAGCGGAGTGGGAGTGAAGAAAGGCTGTGCAGCTATGCGTAAAACAACTGGTTAGCCAATAACATGGGTGGGTCCTTAGGAGGGTTGGCGGGGTTCGGCGGGGGCGGTGGCCACTGCTGGGCTGGCGTGTGGTTTTGATCGTGTGCAGTTCGCCGCGATTGCTGAGGTACTTGGCCATTCTCTGAAGTGGGTTTCCTCAAGGCGATCGAAGCCAGGCATTAAAACCCAGCATTTGTCTGTGACGCACATGTTGCCAAGGGTCGGATAAGAAGGCGCTTTACTTCTGCTCACGCTTTAGCTCATGTGCGAACGTAAACGCAGTTCTCGACCCGTTTACACAATAGCCAGAAGCGTTGTCTTATTTAAAAACGGAAAGGCAGCCCGGCTGGTGTGGCTTAGTGGCTGAGCATGGACCCATGCACTAAGAGGTCGCCGGTTTGATTCCCGGACAGGGCACATGCCCAGGTTGTCGGCCTGATCCCCAGTGGGGGGCATGCAGGAGGCGGCCAATCAATGTTCTCCCTCATCCATGTTTCTATCTCTCTCTCCTTCTCCCTTCTTCTGCCTCTCTAACATATGAATAAAGAAAAAAAAAATTAAAAAGTGAAATAAAAATGGGAAAGCAACATGACTCTCAGCCTTGGAGGGCTCCGGTTCCACCTACCTCCCACCATGTGGCTCCCCAAAGCCTGGGAGTTGGCCGAGCACAGCAGCTGCCATGAGGCGCTGGCAACTCCATGCTCCATTAGGTCAACTGGTGGGAATTTATTCTGCACAACTGTTTCTAGAAATTGATTTAATATAATCTGAAATAGAATTTTTTAATTGTCTTAAATTGATTAACTAATGGAAAGGGGTCTCCACCGCCTCCAAAATTTACAATGCTACCAACTCAGTGCAAAAGAATATACATAGAAATTAATGTAACAAGGATACAAAGCTATCACTGATGGTTCTTTAAAGAACCATGTATCTAATATTTCAGTAATCAACAGTAAAGTGTAAAACAGTTGTCAAGTAGTATTCAGTTTAACATGAGGCGGCAAAATTGTGGTAACAAGGTTATGACATTTACTCAGAAAATGGAAGAAAAAAGCCAACCTGACATAAAAATTATCATTGTGACAAGACAAAAGACTTTTCCCTGTCATCCTTAAAGAAAGACTTTCTTCAACTAAAAGTGAAATATGATAATGTTGTAAGGGGGGGAAACCTAATAAAAGAGACATGGTTTTGAGTTTGCACTCTATATTCCCTGCAGGGTAGAACTTGTCTTACAAAAACATTTATTTATTCACATTTCTCCATAAAACCTGTTGAAAGAATCTGTGTTGTGCAGTAGATACATATACTACTCTTGCATTTTTTTAAAAGCATCCAATTCAAACTGGGGATTGGGACAAAATATAAATGTTGCTTATTTTGTTGTAATAATTCAAAGAGAATGTGGTGGTTATACTTGGAATAAAGATAAAAGAAGTATTTACGTGTTTTACAAGCTATTCGTTTATTTTGATGTTGCTTATTGAAATGAAGAATCAGTCTACTAAACTACCTCAAACACTAATTGTGGTATAAACATAATTTGGCTTATAATTGCTTATAATTAGTTGCTTTTCAATTACTATTATGCTTTTTCCCAATGCAATTTAAGTTCATATAAAAGTGCCAAAAACCTTGGCAAGGTTAGCCTTGTTAATTTGATATAGGATAATTTTAAAAGTGTCTACCAATTGGACTGGTCCTTAGTAAAATATATTATTCTTCCTAAGTGGCCCCCTCAGATGATTTACCACAGAGAAGCCAGAGTGATTTTTATCTTTAACTTATCTTTATTGTTGAATGTATTACAGATGTTCCTCATTTTCCCCCCATTGATCGCCTCCTCCCCATTCCCGCCCCTCCTCCTGCCTTTCCCCACACTGTTGTCTGTGTCCATTAGTTATGCAATATATACATATACGTTCTTTGGTTTATTTCTTCCCACCCTCCAACCCCCATTCCCTTTGAGGTTTGTCATTCTAACAACCAATTTGTACTTCTTAATCCCTTCACCTTTTTCACCCATTCCCCCAACCCCCTTCCCATCTGGCAACCAACAAAATGTTCTCTGTATCTGAGAATGTTTCTGTTCTGCATGTTCATTTTGTTTGTAGATTCAGTTGTTGATAGATATCATTGCCATTTTGTTTGTTCATATTTTTTTTTTTATACTCACCTGAGGACATTTTTCCAGTTTTTTGTTCAGGTAGAGTGGAAGGGAAAGAGAGAGTGGAAGGGAAAGAGAGAGAGAGAGAGAGAGAGAAAGAAACAGTGACATGAAAGGGACACATCGAGTGGTTGCCACCTGCACAACCCAACCAGGGCCGGGGACAAACTGCAACTGAGGTACATGCCCTTAGCAGGAACCAAACCCGGGTCTCTCTGGACTGCAGGCCAACGCTCTAACTGTTGAGCCAAACTGGCCAGGGCTGTTTGATCATATTTTTTATCTTTTTCTTCAAGAAGACCCTTCAGTATTTCATATAATAACAGTTTGGTGGTGATGAACTCCTTTAACTTTTTCTTGTCTGGGAAACGATATGGCCATCGATTCTAAATGACAGCTTTGCAGGATAGAATAATCTTGGTCGTAGGTTCTTGCTTTTCATCACTCTGAATATTTCTTGCCACTCCCTTCTGGCATGCAAAGTTTCTTTTGAGAAATCAGCTGACAGTCTAATGGGAACTCCCTTATAGGTAACCAACTGCTTTTCTCTTGCTGCTTTTAAGATTCTCTTTTTGTCTTGAACCTTTTGCATTTTGATGATGATGTGTCTTGGTGTGGGTCTCTTGGGGTTCATCTTGTTTGGGACTCTCTGTGCTTCCTGGACTTGTATATCTGTTTCCTTCACCAAGTTAGGGGAGTTTTCTGCCATTATTGTTTCAAATAGGTTTTCGATTTCTTGTTCTCTCTCTAGTCCTTCTGGCACCCCCAAGATGCAAATGTTGGCATGCTTGAAGTTGTTCCAGAGGCTCCTTACACTATCCTCATTTTTTTGGATTCTTTTTTTTTTTTTTGCTATTCTGATTGGGTGTTTTTGCTTCCTTAGATTCCAAATCGATGGTTTGCTTCTTGCCTTTACCTACTCTACTATTGAATCTGTGTAAATTATTCTTGATTTCAGTTAGTGCCTCCTTCATTTCTGACTGGTCCTTTTTTATGCTTTTGAGGCCCTCACTAAGTCCACTGAGGTTCTAAGTCCATTGAACATCCTTATAAGCAGTGTTTTGAACTCAGCATCTGTTAGGTTGCTTATCTCCATTACACTTAGTTCTTTTCTTGGGGCTTTGTTCTGTTCTTTCATTTGGGACCTGTTTCTTTGTCTCCTCATTTTGGCTGCCTCCCTGTGTTTGTTTCTATGTATTACTTAATGAGAGCTATGGGGCTAGCTGAGACCAGATGCTGCTTGTTTGAAAGAATTTAGGAAAACCTGAAGCAGGATCCAAGACAGGCCAATCTTAAGGTAAAGCAACTGGCAACAGCTTGGGTGGGCCTGAAAGTTGGGTGGGGCAGGGCCTCAGGGAATCACCAGGGTGGGGCAACCAGTGTGAGCCAGGTTGCTGGAGTTCCAGATATGGTGCCTGTCTGCTGTCCCAGGGAAGGGCTCACCAAAGGAACAAAGGCCTCTGACAGCACGTCTGTCCCGAAGAAAGCCCCCCTCCAACCCTCGTTCCAATGCCAAACTACTCAGCTCTTCCCTGAATGATTCTGGTGCCTTTCAAGCTGCCTCCCCCATGCTGGAGCCTGGAGGGTGCGAGTCTGAGTAAGTTTGTGCCAGGGCTCTTTAAGCAGAGCTCCCTGGGGCTCCAGCCGCCTCAGCCTCCCTGAGCCTCAGTTCCCACTGGTGTTTCCAGCCAGAAGTTATGGGGACTTCTCTTCCTGGCACTGGAACCCTGAGCTGGGCGCACCTGTTGTGGGATGGGGACCCCTCAGTCCTCAGAGAGGACCTTCCCAGCTGAGGTATCCTAATTTTTATCTGCCACACTTGGGTGTGGGACCAGACTGTCGTGCCTCTGCCCCTCCTACCAGTCTTGATGGGGCTGCTGCTTTAATTCCATAGTTGTAAGACTTCCATTCAGCTTGATTTCAGGCGGTTTTGAATGATGGTTGTTCTGTAGTTTAGTTGTAACTTTGATGTGGTTGTGGGAGGACGTGATACCGGCGTTTACCTAGCCCGCCTTCTTGACCGGACGTCACCAGAGTGATTTTTTAAAAACATAAATCCAATTTGACACTTTCAAATATTTAAATGTTTTAAAATTCCCCAGTGGTTTTCTATCACACTTGAAATCAGAATTTCTTACCTGGCCCTCAAATCCCTACATGATCTCGTCACAGACTAATTGTGCTCCAAGCTCATTTCCACCTTTCACTCTGTGTGTTCCAGCCATACTGTCATTTCTCTTATTTGGTCATTCTGATTTGTCTGAAATGCTCTTTTTCTCCTTTTTTGTATGGATTGTTCATTCTTGTTACTGAGGTCTTAGCTTAAATGTTACCTCTTCTGAGAGGTCACCTGTAGTAGTAGGGCACAGGCTAAGCTACTATAACAAAGAGGTCCCAAGCGCCGGCTGGTTTTGCTCAGCGGTTAGAGCGTCGGCCCACAGACCAGAGAGACCAGGGTTTAGTTCCCGCTAAAGGTACGTACCTCAGTTGCAGTTTGTCCCTGTCC